GGCAAAAAATGAAAGTCTTTGGCATGCAGCCTTGCAATTAGTTTCAATGCATGACATCCCAACGATTCTTGGTGGGGACATGAACATTCGAGTACAAGATACAGATGCATGGCCTTACTTTGTGACCTTGGGTTTTTCCGAGACATTTGAACACCATTTCCGGCTGACGGGAGTGGAATTACCACCGACCTGCCGCTCTGCGACTCGACACGATACTTTGGTTTTCTCACACCATTTCCGGCAACTCTACCAGACTGCGTACACTGTCCGCAAAGGACTTTTTAGTGACCACGATCCGTTGGTGGCCCATTTTAAAGTCCCCAAATTGGACCTGACACGCAGGATTCTCTGCTTCCCCCAACCCATGGAAGATGATGTCCTGCAAGCGCCCGTGTTCCAGCACCACCAACGCGTGCAAATGCAGGCATGTGCAGAAACGGTTGACTCCTTGCTTGCGGACCAGAATGTGGAGCAACCCTTGACCCAAGCGCTCCAGAAGATTGGCGAAGCTTTTGAGAGTGCATACATTGATGCTCATCAGTCTCTGCGGCAACATCTAGGTGAAAACCAGGTCAGCCTCATGCCTGAATCGCTGCATGGACGGTTGCAACCTAGAAAATTTAAGGACGTCAAAATCAGTGACACGCCCGCCAGGGCCAGGTACGGGAGTTACGAGCCAACTCAGGAGGTGTCCGGAGTTAGGGCGTGCCTTTGGGTAAGACAGACACGCAGGCTTGAGAGCTTCTTGCACCTTTTGCGTAAGTGGCATGGCAAGCCAGACCGCCCCAGCACAATTGTGCACCAGCTTAGGTCTGAGTGGAATGCTATTTGCAAAGCCAAAGGATTCCCTGATGGCTTTCCAAGCTGGTGCCTTGCGCACCAAGGCATTGGGCACTTCTACTTCCGTAGACCCCCTGCGCCTTTTGTTGAGAACCTAACCCGGACGGTGCGTGAAGAGACTGACAAGCGCGCTGCAATCACTCGTGCAAACCGGAAGTCACTTTTTCGCTTTCGAATCTCCTTGGATAACCTTGAGTTTGGTGGCACATTGTCGCATTCGTTGTTGCATGAGCCGCCACCGCCACGCCTGAGTGCAATTTCTTTCCAGAATCAGACTGACGCTGACCTGCTGCGTGTACGGACCAAAGGGCCTGCCCAAGCTCGGTTGCCAGTTGGGTTTGAGCTTGACCCCAGCTTGCCCATATGTGTCAACGGTTGTGAAACTACTGTCACTAAGATCCATGGTGCAATCGTGAGTTTCCACTTGAACGGATCCATTGAGGGCAAGAAAATCCGTGTTTCTCAGGCACGATGGGAATTCCAGCCTGGGGAGATGCATCGCCTTTTCTTTGAATATTGGGCCCCGTTTTGGCTTCGTGATGACGTTGAGCAAGCAGAGAGCATGGACAGTTGGCATGACTTTCTGCAACTTGCGACTAGTGCGGGCTTTGTGCCGCAAAATTCTGCATGCCAACCAGTCACCCTCGCTGAATGGCGTCAGGCAAGTCTGCAGACTAAAGCAAAGACAAGCCGTGGCTCCTGCGCCCTCACCCAACCTGAAGCTGCGGCTATGGGTGACTGCACACTTACCGCGCTGTTGAAAGTGGTGAACAGAAGTGGCCAGGAAGGTTTTCCTGATTGGTTAATGCTCGCAAGGGCTGCCTTGGTACCAAAAATCCCCGAAGCAAATACTGTTTGTCAGATGCGGCCGATAACGGTGTGCAGCTTGGTTTATCGGCTGTGGTCCAAGGTCATGACACGGCGGTTGCTAACCAGCCTCTCGACTCAAGTGCCGCGGTGTGTGGCCGGAGGGTTGCCGGGCAGGAACTGCCGTGACCTTTGCCTTGAAATGGGAATCTCCATCGAGCGCAAGTTCCAAATTCAGTCGGAGATTGGAGGCTACGTCTTGGACATTAGCAAATGTTTCAATGGCTTACCTCGGCCACCAATGGCTTATCTTTTGACTTGTGTTGGATTGGCAGAGGCTAACTCCCATGCGTGGCATCGTAGTCTCCAAAAACTTGCACGAACTGTCCGCCTAGCATCTTCAGATAGCCTGCCAAGTGCCACAACCACGGGACTACCTGAGGGCGACCCCTTAGCTGTCCCAGCAATGGCGGTTTTGGGCTGGCTTTGGACCCGCCTTCTGGCCGCTAACGCTGATTATGCTTCCGCATTTGCTGACAACTGGCAGTGGCGCGCGTCTGATGCAGAGGACCATATTCAGTGCTTGTTGATTACAGAGAGGTTGCTTAAAAGCCTAAAGCTCCATAGTGATCCTGCTAAGTGTTGGGCTTGGGGGACTACCCAGCAAGCGCGCAGTGCAGGAAAAGCAGATCGCGCACTGTTTTTGGTAGGCCCGACTTGATCCGTGTTACTTCAGCCGAGCGCGATCTTGGGATTCAGATGCACTACACGCGGCAGATGATTAACAAGACACTCATTGACCGCTTGGAGTGTGCCAAATCTAGGCTTACTCGCCTCAAAAAGGCGCTGTTGAGTTTGCAGGAGAAGGCACGCCTCATCCTGACAAACATACTGCCCACGGCTTTCTACGGGGCTGAGCTTGTTTATTTGGGCGCTGACCACTACAAAACGTTCAGGACTGCCATCGGTGATGCTATGATTGGGAGGACTCCCTTCACCAATCCCTGGCTTATGGTCTCTGCTGTCACTCGAACTTTGCTTGATCCACAATTCTACGTTGTGTTTCGCTCGCTTCTGTTGTGGCGTAGATACTTGTGGAGCCTAGTGCCTGAGCATGACAGTGTTAAGCAGATTATCCTTCAAGCCCAGCCAAACCCGATGAAGGCAGTAGGCCCTGCTTCTGCCCTGCAGACTAACCTGTCAAATGTCGGGTGGTGCTTTGGTCTTGATGGGTTAATCCAGGATATGCACGGTTTGCGATTCGACCTTATGAAAGTAAGCGAAAGCTTCATCCGTGGAAGACTCGCTGAAACTTGGGACGAATTAGTTGGGCAAAGCGTTAGGCGCCGCAAGGAATTTGCCCACTGGCCTACCCCCTGCCTCTCTGAGACCTCTCGACAAATCGACAAGCTTGCAGAGCGAGACCGAACAATTCTCACGTTTGCTATGACAGGCAGTGTGATGCTCCAGAATCATAAGGCTCGTTGGACAGATCGCGACCTCCAACCGTGCCCTTTGTGTGGAGAGCCCGAGTCTCGGGATCACCTTGTTTGCCATTGTGAGGGAACGCGTGACCTTGTTGCCGCGCATGATGGAACGGTTGCTGAGGTCAGATCAGATGCACCTTGGTTGATCGCACTTCCACTTGCTTACAAACACCCTGAACATCAGGCCCTGCTCGTGCAGCATTGGAGCCATGCTTTCCCTGAGCCCTTTGTGAGCACATGCGAAACAAATGATAACGTGCCTGTGTTTTACACCGACGCCTCATCGTTTGAACCGCAGGAACCGTTTGGGAGCATTGCGGCGTGGGCCATTGTTGAGGACCTTGCAGAAAATGATGCAGACAGAGCCACTGCTTCCAGACATTTCCGTGAAACGTACAAGGTGCCCAACACCTTCCATTGTGTGCAATCCTCCACTGTACATGGAAATCAGACGGTAGCCCGTGCTGAGCTTGTTGCAATAGTCCAAGTAATCCGATCATGTGAAACTGCCATCATTGTGACTGATTCCAAGTACGCCCGTGACCTGGTCGTATCAATTCAAAAATGCCCGCATGAAATTGATTTCCTCAAGGCAGAAAATTTTGACGTAATCGTCCATTTGTGTGAAATCTTCCGGACCAAGGACCCTGCTGATTTCTTAGTCTTAAAGATCAAGGCTCACCAGACGGTAAGTCCTTGCAATGCTGACTTAGACAATTATGCAATCCTTGGTAATACTGCTGTGGACTTTGCGGCAAAATCTGCAGCCAGTTATAACAATAATAGGCTGCATCAGCAGGCGCGCGAAGTCCTCGATTTCTACAAAAAACAAAGACGGCTGCGAGGCAAATTTCTTGACTTGACGATTGAGATTGACAAGACCAGAATGGATGCTTGCGATAAAAGAAAAGCACAAGCCAATAAAGATGCCAAACATTCATGTTCGCCAACGAACTTGTTGGAATGGCACCCGCGTGGGGGGGTTCAGCTCCATGTTCCTGTGCTGAATGATGACCAGCTGTCAGGCTGTCCTTGGGGAAGTGCTTTTACATGCCTTGTTCTTGAGTGGGCCCAAACGCTCCGATGGCCAGTAGAGCAGGCCGAGCATGACCCCGGGGTCTCCCTTGTTGAGTTGCTGATAAATTTCATCTTGGTCACAGGAGTTGCTTTCCCGCGCCAAGTCTCGCGGAAAGCAGCTAGAGTTGTTTTCCGTCATGAAACTCAGGCCGCAGAAGTTGCGTTGATTCCTTGTGCCTTTGAGGAAGCCATGCGAACACTTGACTCCATTGACTTTCAGTGTAAACGCCTTTTTGGTTTGCTTCTTACGCCACATGAGCTTAAGTGCCAGGGCCAGTTTTTGCGCAATTACGGTTGCAACAAAATGCGCAGAGGATGGACCCGACGGCCTGAGATGCTTTATCCAAAGGAGACCATTGAAACTGTCACTAGGGCGGTGCATTTTGGCAGCTTCCAGAGTGTGCATGTTCAGTCACCCGGGCCCTTGCTGCAACTTCGGCCCAGCGCATTGGACTCGATTTCAGATGATGTGAGATATACCAATTTCCGTAGGCTTATGCGAATTCGCAGATAGTTCGGCAGGACGCATTGAGTGCGCTTTGTCTCGGTATTTTTGTCTTTCTCTTTGGGCGTGACTCCGCCCGGATTCTTTTGTTGCGGGCCTCACGCCGACCGGCCGGGGGCGTCTCAACGGACTCATTGACCGCAGGCCATTTCAAAGTGAGTTTCCTTTTGGGGTGATGTTTAAAGTTTAAAGGGGAGAGCATATAGGTGTCTTGTTTTTTAGGGGACTCCCCCCCCAAGAACAAAAAACAAACAAACCATATGAGTATAAAAACCCAACACAGCATGTGGGTTTCCTGAGGGACCCTGACATCCCCCGCACAAAGGAAGCTGGTTTTCCTTGTAGGGTAAGGGGGAACCTCAAACCCCATATAGCCTTGCCGGCTGTTTGGGAATTCGGGCCCTGGCCCAGGCCTGCGCGGACAATTTGCGGGAGGAGCTCGAGCAGGCGCAGGACTGGACTTCGGCTGGATCCCATCGGAATCCGGGCCAAGCGGTTGTTGTTCCGCGGTTCGAGGGCCCGCCTTTGGGGTTTCTCTCTCTCTCTTTTTTGTTTTCCGGGGGAGGTGTTTTTTTGGGTTGAACCATCCATTTGCTGACAGGACTATGTTTTTTTTTCTGACTTTCTGCTGGTTTTAAAGGGAACATGTACCACTACTGAAGTATCGTCAAATTTTCCCAGGGGCCAAAAAAGAAAATGGAAGGTCGGCTTTGAGGGGAAAGCAACATTAGGGAATCCTAAAGGGTGGTCCGAACCCTAAGGAATCCTAAGGGACCCTAGGGCTCTCAACTACCCACCCCCCTTGTACCGTCGGGTTCCCTGATTTTGAGACACACTCCTTTCAGCCCGACTGGTCAGGTTTGTTTTTCCTGAGCTGTGGAAAATCAAGTATCCCTGCACCCCTAACCACCAAACCACCAAGCCAAACCACCAATTGGGTGCACGATGGTCAATGCGGAACTTCACAATGGATCAAGTTGCGGTTGCCCAAGACGGCGGTTGACTTCAAAGGGCAAACACCCGTCACATTCGTTGGGTTGGCCGGGGAGGTCATCAACCCTTGATAGGGGTTTTAGCAAACCATGGTAAGGGTTCCTACTAAGGCAACCATGTCCATGAACCACAGAAGCAGCATCAAGCAGCTTGGACCATGGCACATGTGTTTGTATGTATATGTTTTAGATTTTAGACAGTATGTGAGCATATCTTGGTTGCTTACTCCCCTTCAAGTTCACAAAAGGAGCCTCCACAAACGGTGGGCTTTGGGAGTCCATAATCTGCAGGGATGGTGTCCGAGGCAATCCGGTGGCTTGGCCTTCTGTTTGACCCCAAGTTTGTCACTCAGATACTGATGAAGCCCATTGAGCGATGGGAAGATTCATATGGCCAGCCTTTAATGGGCCCCAACCAGCAAGAAGCCACAATTGATTAAGTTATGGCTGACTGAAAAGAGGTCAACTGGTATGCACAAGCAGCGATTTCAGTTGAACGGGGGGTATTCCCATGAAGGTCCTTTAGGGGATTCCCTGAGGATTTTTCCCCGATGGATAATTGGCCAGCTCAATAAGGGAAGGGTGTCAAAATCAGGGACCAAAACTACAACGGCTGGTTTGGCCTTTTGGTTTCCCTTAAACCACCCTCCCCCCCCACCAACACAAATGAGAGTACCCCCCAAAAAAGGACATAAAACAAGCATGTGGTTCCTGTTAAAACAGCCCAACATTTAAAACAAAAAAAGAGCTTCCCTCAAACACGCAAAACCAACATGCACACGCACATCCACGTTTTTGACTCTAGCTTCGCTTCAGGAGCTTTTGGCCACCCGGGACCATGGACTCAGCGCTTGTGAAGAGAGCTGCACCAGCTCTGAGGCGTGGGTCCGGAAAGGGACAGCCTGGCTGTGGTTCGCTTTTTTAGGGGACGGATCCCCCCCAAAGAAATCAAAGAAGAAGAGGATGTAGGTTTACCTTTCAAACCACAAAAACAAACGCCCCCAAAAGAAAAGATGTGGGTTTCCTCTTGGTTTACCTTTAAAGCCACAAGAAAAAGCGGTTCGTTTGTTGGTGCAGTACCCTTTTTGGGGTTGGTTGAAAGGGGAATTGAAGGATCCAATTTGGAGGGCTCCGATTCCGATTTTGAGACGACATGGAACCTAAAACGGGGTCCGATAAAAAGGATATTCCGCTCCTACAAATCAAGGCTTTTTGGGTTCCATGTCAAGCTGCAGGAGTGTCGAGCCCTCATCGGATGGTTGGTTTCCTTGCGCATTGTCCTTGATTGCAGTAGTGCAAGTGGGTGCCCTCTACATTGAGCAGGGTATAGTTCGAGACGATTTGAACCTGACAAAGTCGGTTTTTAAGTTGACGACAAGCTAGGGCTTCATGAAGGCTGCTGACTCACCGGCCTTCCCAAATGAGCATGGGCCGATGGGCTTATGAGGCTTGGAAAGTGGTGCTCAGACCAAGGAGCCAGAGAATGGCGGAAAGGGTGATCAGATCCGTCGGTCAGTTTCATAGATGAGTTCCGCGGTTTTTTAGTTTCGCCTGTGATTTCGGGCACCTTAGAGTTGGATGGGGAGAACATCGGTCAAAGGGGGTCCTGGAATTTGGACACTTTCTATTTGGACTATGGATGGAGCAAATCCTGCTACCAGTTGGTAGGTTTGGCCCATGATGCGGTTTCGGATTTTAGCCCAAGTGGTGGGTAGATCGAGCACGGCCTGAGTTGGATCCGATCGACCAGGTATTCCATCCCCATTCTGTTCAGGGGTGGCCAGAAAACCGAAGACATCCAGGGATGCTTAAAGTTTGCTGATGGGAATTCACCCCCAGACCAAAGGTCCAAAACGGGGCTCCTTTCATGTTGCTGAGCTATGAGTGCAGATCCCCGATTGAGTTGGATCGAATCTGGCTTCGGAGCTTCGACCATGACACATATGAATTTGTTACGTTGAAATTGATCATCAAACAATGTAAAAAATCGATTCCGATTCGGGTAATCGATGGTTGAGGAAACCAAATTCAGCTGCGGCCACCTTCAAACATGTTTTTCACATTTTGGACAGGCCCAGTTGATAACATTTGTGTTGTATATAACGAAAACGGCCCTCGCTTGGTTTGACCGAAGCAACCTTTTCTACTTTTTGATAAAGTGCTGGCAGATCAAAGATCAACAATGTTTTGTGTGTTGGTGGCTGCGATTTGTGTGGTCAGTCTGGAAACATCAATCCTTTGGGTTAAAGGAGAAGCGGCCCCCAATTCGTGGCTTCTTGATGTCTGGATGTTTGTTGGTCAACTCTCAATTTGGACTTTGGAATTACCCCGGCCGATCAAAGGGTGCAAGACCCCTTGAAAGGCCCATTGTCCTGTTTAAAGTTTTATCCATCCGGAAAGCCACGCCCGTTTTTTTTCTTCTTCTTTTTCCCTCTTTTTTTAAGAAGCACCAAAACTTGTGCCAAAAGGGAAGACTGGACAATTTCCCAGATCTACTTTCAGCCATGCTAAGACACCTTTTTGTGCGTCGGGGAGATTCATCAACCGACTTGCAGCCAAACAACTTGCGGGCAACCAGTCCCCCTTTCAACCCAAATACGTTCTTGTACCGAGGCTAATCTCTCAGGCGACAGCAAACAGCTTGCTAGCTGTTAATAATCTTGGGGGTCAGGGGAAGCCCATTTCAGAGAGAATCCTTCACCCTGTTTGGGCAAAGACCCAATCAATTACTCCACCAGATTGATTCATCCAGGGTCGACCATAGTAGGATACTGGCCAAAATAGCTCGAATAGAGTTGTATAGGGGGACTTGAAACACCAGCCCAAGTGTCCCCCACAGCATCAGGGCAGAGACCCCCAAGATAGTCATAGAATCAGGTGTGAGTCCCACAACTGCGCCCCCCCCCAAAAAAAAAACACACACACACAAAAACCAAAGCAAAGTAAACAAACAGGCTGGTGTCCTTTTGTTTCCTTCAAACCACCACCCAAAAGGGGCTCCTTATTTTGAGACAGAACCGAATGTAATCGTAGCCCCGAAAAAAAGGGAACTGCGTCAACCGAACGTCGCCAGGGCATTCTGCAGCAGGCGGAGTCGGAGTTGGACAGCTGCAGGCAAGAGCTGAAGGCGAGCCGGCAAGAGATGCCTTTTGACTCTTCCTTTTTTCGGATGTTGTTTCTTGGCCATGTTTATTTTTATATTTGCTGGCCGTGTTTTGCTTCTCGGATTTGGCTTTTAACATGTTGAGTGTGGGGCTGCAAAGAACAAACTTTGATTGCTTGCTCTGTCCTTCATTGTTGTTGTTTTGGTCAAAATCGTGGTACAATTGTTGAAACCTCTTTTTTAGTCGGCACGAAGTATCACCAGGTATCTAAAACCCCCCTACTTATTTTGCTGACTTGACTTCTTGGCGTTGTGCATCTCATTGCTTTTTTGGTTTAGACCAGTTTTAGTGTGCAGCTGGAAGCATCCTTACCTGCAAAACATGCGTTCGCTTTCGCAGGGGATAAGATCAACATTGTTTGGGTGTCGAGGGCGAAGGGTACAGGGTCCTGCATTGGAGGGTTGTGGGGGTGTGTTCTTTGAGGGTACCCTTTTCCAGCTGGCTTTAAAGGGAAAACACAAGGAAATTCAAATCAAACTGGTTGGGGTCCGAATCCCTCTGACGAGCCATACTATAGATGCAAGTGATTGCAAGTGGGAGGTTGGGATTGGATTCTTGTTTTTTGTTTTTCTGGAACCCAATAACAAATATTCGCAGCCCATGCTCATGCTTGCATCTCAAACGCCACACATGTACCCAGTGTGTCCCTTCTTCACTTGCTTCGGGTGCCAGTATCAAACTGTGAAGCTATGCAATGGAAAGGGTTTTGGTTCTGTGCTTACCATACATGATAGACAAGGCGGATCAACCACATATAATTATGCAGATACATCAATCAGATGTGGTGAAACGTCCGTTTGAAACCCATGTTGTTCATTGTTTAATCAGCGAAAAGCCTGGCGACAACGGGCCCCTCAAAATGGCTCACCTTTCGCGAGTCGAGCAGCGCTGGTTATTTGCACAAATGCAACTTGATAAGTGTCCAGATCTGGAACACCCGCCCCAGGTACGCCATGCGTAATTTAGGCGTCCTTCTGGTTTCAAAGTTTCATGGCCGCTAAAGGTGGTTTCCCTTACTCTTGCAGTAGGTTGCATGGAAATCCGCCCCAGTCTTCCAAAAGGGGCGTGCGCCCTTCCGTGTTGGCTGGTCTGGAAGAGTAAATGGCGAAATATTTCGGTGGCAACTCATGCTATCCTCGGATCAAATCAGATATAAATTGGAATGCCCCCTGCAAAAAATCGATGCACCACTAACCCCCTGATGAGTATGTTCCTAGTGAATCTGAAGTTCACATCCGGTGTGCCTTTTTAGCGGGTACCCTCCAACCAAAATGGAAGCTGACAGGGTGTTGGAAGACTACTTTCCTTTGGGGGACCCAGAAAGGTGTACGTCCATGGTTGATCAACCGAAACCACAGGGCAGGGGACTCCAAAAACAAAGCGAAAAACCGTCCTCACATTGCGGCTCTCAGTTTGAGGCAAACCCACACTTTTATACAACGGACACTGGTTTTTAGGGGTACCAGTTTTGGGGTGGGGCCCCAACGCCTTCTTTTCATTTTGATGGATATGGATGTTTCAGGTAACCCATAGGTGGTTTAGATTGGTTCCCCCTGGTTCTTGAGGGTAAATAGGAAACCCTCCCTTTACTTCAAACCACCCGGCTGCAAGCCACCCATTGGAGAAAAGCTGAGTGTTGGGCCGTCCCCATTTGGTTTCGAGCGAAATGGGTTCCCACCATGCAACCCCAAGGGTTCCAATTCTTTTTCCACCGCTGCTACCGGTTGGAACTGCGAGGGTGATGTGTGTGAGTGTGGGTTCCTTTCTTCTTCGGGGTACCCCACATCGTGCGCGTGTTCTACGTGGAAACCAGGAGGACCCGGCGCCCGTACTTTTTGGGCTTGTGCAGAATCCATCGGGTAAGCCCGCCACCAAAAGTGGTCGTTTGGGGCTTGCGACCCATTTTTTTGGGGGTAAATGGGCAGCCCCCCCCAGCCCTCCCCGGCTCGCTCCAAACCATCAGTTGGGAAGTTGACGGGTGGCGTAAGGGCTCTCCTGGTAGTTTCTACCTTCGCTGCTCTTGGCAGGTTTTTTGGTCTTTGAGTTTTTTGGTTCTGTTCATTTTTCCTGGGGGTCTGCAAACAACAAAGTTTTTTGCTACCATACCCAGAGTAGAGATGTTCTTTCTAAGGGTGGACTCGGATGGAGCTTCCATTTCGAACAGCCGACCCTCCACTCTCACAAGCCCATAACCTCCAGCCGAAACCCAGCCCACAACGGGAAAAGCTGACCACCAACCCACCAACCCTCCAACTCACCAACCCACCAGCTCACCAACCGACCAACCCAGCAACCCACCAACCCACCAACCCACCAACTCCCCCCACCTTATTGCCTCGTTGTGAGGCAATGACCTCGGAGGATTTGGACAGCATCCGCCTGGAGTCCGGAGCCTCGGAGTCCGGTCAACTCCGCCTGGCCGCAAATTTGCGGGAGGCTCACCTCAAACAGTTTGCTGAGGCTATGGGTGTGGTTCCTTTTTCGAGGGGGGTGCCCATAGGTGTCCTTTTTGGTTGTTTTGGTCGAAAAATAGATGGCACTGGTTTACCTGGTGGTTTAATCATCTACCAGGGCCATCTATTTCCCCCAAAAGGACACCTATGGGGGTTCCCTTTTTGGGGCGGTTCTAAAAGATTAACAGGAAATCAAAGGGAACACCGCAATTTTGGGGGGTCCCTTGAAAAAAGGAACCACACGCATGGGGAATGGGGAAGGTCTTTGACTTTCCTTCACACCAACCCCCAGAAAGGGTATCCTCACAAAATGTGCCGCCGGCACCCGCCGGAAGCTTCCAAGCGCACCTTTGTTTCTTGAAGGACAAAGTACAAGACGCCGGCAGGCGCAGCAGATTTGATGGTTCCGTCAGGAGTCATGAAAGGGCAAGCAGCCCATCTTTTCCGGACAAACACTCGAACTGTAATCACCCGCATCGCTGCTCAACGCTCTCCAGTTAGAGATTGCTATATTTCACGACTGCGAGGGTTCTACATTGTCTCCACCATGTCTGCCAACCGCATGGCAGGCGTGATACTTGCTTTCCGCACCATGAAAATCAAGCCCGAGGGGATTTCACTTAGTTCCAGAATAACAGATCCTTAGCCGAAAAGACGGGTCTTCACCTATGTGCACGAGCGGGGTTGTGTTTTCTTGCGTGCGCTTGTGTGTACTTGCTTGAGCTCCTGACAGGTCTTCACCTATGTGCGCGAAGCGCGCGTTTCAACGCTCCGAACGTATTTACCCCCGCATCTCCTCACCCAGCCCCCCCCCAGCCCCCCGAGAAGACAGAAAAGTGGGCAAGTGGTGTGAAGCATGGCTGTCTCGCGTCAAAAAAGACACCCATATATAAACATATCAAGATTTATTGCACATGTAGCTTGGCAGCTTTAGGTGCAGCTCGCGAACATTCCATGGGTTGAGAGAGTTTGGGGTCAGCAGCTTACAAGTGTTCAGGGGAGGGAGCAAGGAGGCACCTTCGAGAATGTCAGTTGAAGTTTCCAGATGTCTCCCCCGCTCAGGCAGGTGGGGCTCGATAGTTAGAAACCACACCAACCGCCCCCGATACAGCCGATGGAGGGTCAACAAAGACAAAGCCTTAGCAAAAACGGCCTCAAGGAATATATATATATATATACGGCCAATTCCCGGGGTTTGCCCGGACCCGCATGACCCTAAACCTTAACCCTAAAACCATAAACTATAAAACAAAAAATCCCTGCTCCTTAAGCCTAAAACCATATACCCGAAACGTGAACCCTAAAACCATAAACCCAAAACCTTAACCCTAAACCTTGAACCCTAAAACCAGAAACCCTAGCCTTAGCCCTAAAGCTTAACCCTAAAGCCACAAACCCTCAACCTTACCCCCAAAAAGCCTGAACCCTAAACCAAAAACCCTAAACCTTAACCCTAAAAACCTCAACCCTAAAACCACAAAGCCTAAACCTTAACCCTAAAAACCTGAACCCTAAACCTTGAACCCTAAAACCAGAAACCCTAGCCTTAGCCCTAAAGCTTAACCCTAAAGCCAGAAACCCTCAACCTTAGCCCCAAACAGCCTTAACCCAACAGCCACAAACCCTAAACCTTATCCCTAAAAACCTTAACCCTAAAACCAAACAAACTAAACCTTAACCCTAAAAGCCTTAACCCTAAAACCATAAACCCGAAACCTTGACCCTAAAACCATATACCCTAAACCTTAATCGTAAAAACCTGAACCCTAAACCTTAACCCTAAATCCATCAACCCTAATGAGCCATAGGCACCTGGAAACAGCAACCGGATTCTCGTTCCAGGCTGTCAGCTCGAAGCGTGCCTTCTCGGTCTCTGTTCGAAAGGAGAGTATGTGCTGGCGTGATGACAAACTCGAGGAATGCCAAGCATGACCTTCCCACTCGCTGGAAGCATGAAACGTTGTTGCCCCCCATGAAGGGAACACAAACCTCAAGTCAGCACTGGTCAGAACAGAAAGCCTCAACCCAGCACTAGTCAGATACACATATGCATATATATATATATACACACGCTTGTACGCCTGGACAAACCTCGGGCGTTGTATATATATATATACATATGATTATCCCCTCAATTGTTGCGGGGTCTTTAGCGCTCCAGGTTTCTAGGGGTTTTAGGTACAACAAATCATGGCTTTATTACTTGTCATCAGGCTTGCTACGAGCCTTTTCCATTCATTTTCTTTCAGGCACCACTGTTCTACCCTTGTTCCAAGTCTTTCCTTAACGTTGCCTTCGAGGCAGGGCGGCTTCCTTCGCGGGGGAATTCCTTTGGGGCCCTTTAAAGTCAAAGAGTTGGCGCCCTTTCCCCTTGGCCACGGTCGGTTTCGTGGCAGATGCGCGGCCATTCGTCGAGCCGACAGGTTCTGAAAACACAGACCCCCGGGAAGCCCGAAAGGCTTTCAATCAGTTTTCTCCGCGGAAGCTCTGCGGAGGAACTAAGAAGACTAATCTTCAAGAAACACAATTGAAGAGGATGCGGCTGAGCCGTCTGGACCACGTACAGGCGCACTCGCGGAACGAAAGCCGCACGTGCGCGGAAGCAAACACAAACCGAACGTGTTGGAATCCCGCGGAAGCATGTGCAAGCACACGAGACTCTCGGAAGGCACGGAAGGTTGCGACGCGGAAGGTTGCGCGGAACCGGATGTCAAGAAAAAATGTTTCAAGTTCGAGAACACCGCTGCGGAGCCTCAATTGTCGGTCTATGGGGCTGGGAGCAAATTGTTCCACGAGGAAACAAGCCCTAGTTTCCCATGTCCTGGGCCTGGGTGGGGGGACCCCCAAAATTGTGGTTTTCCTGATGTGTTCCGTTGAAACCAAACCCAAAAAGGTATTCTCAAAGAACATAAGCTGGTGCCAGCACCCTCTTTCTTTGAGGATCCAAGCACGGCTCCGCTCCGTCAGCTGGTGCGTGCCTTCTCTTCTGAAACAAGCCTGTTGTTGTTTCAAGGGAAACCAAAAGGCCGAAGGGTGGTTGTTTAAACAATCGCAGCTGAAACATGTTTAAACAAGGGGTTGGTTCAACATGATGTTGCAAAACAACAAAAAAACAACATGTCCGATTTGTTCAGCAAGGGTTTCTTAAATCGGCAGTGTCAAGGGCTTCAGTCGCCCACTGCTCCGCCTTGCCGGTCGAGGATCGAGAAGCGGAAGCAGGCGCTGGCGCGCGCAGAGCAGGGCACGGCACGGATCCCAGCCCCGATATGGTTGGGTTCCGGGATGCTAAGTGGCCCAGATTTGGGTGTGGCTCAAAATGAAAGAACTAGGGTTACGCAGGTGTTAGTCTTTGGTTCAATCTACCAAAGCAGCATTTTGGTACATATTTTTGAGCCACGGCCAATTTATGATCTGCCCAAAAGGAAGCCAAAAGGAATCGGATCGGAATGGGTACAGTGTTTTCCTGTTTTCTCCAGAACTTTGATTGCACCCAGGTTTCCAAGATGTCCTTATGGAGAATAAACCCCTGATGGAGTCGAAAAAGCTGATCGATCCATTCCCAGACGAAAGTCCTGTTGGGAGACCCCTACTTTTTGCTTTGGGGGGGGTGGTCGCAAAACTCAAAGGGTTTCATATGGCTTGCGCTTCAGTTGGCTTAGACCAAAGCCCAGGCAGACACCGTGGCGCTGCGCGCCAACATCGGCGCGCAGATGCCGGAGGTGAGCGCCATGTTGGAGGCCCTCCGATTTGCTCGTTGGTTTTGTTCGAGGGGTTGATTCCCCATTCTTTTCAAGCATCGTTCTTTCCAAAAGCCTGCTGCTTCCCTCGGTTTCCGGAGGTTTTCTAGAAAGAAGGATTCCTGGAAAGAATGGGGAAGGTACCCCTAGATTTGTGGTAAGTCTATTTCGTGGGGTTCAGTTGCCACCATTAAAACCATGGTTGGGTTCAGACAACCGTGAAAACAAAGGTTGGGTTCACATAACCACTCGTTGTTTACCTAGGGATTGTCATCATCCAAATTAGGTCAACCATTCTTTTAAGGGGGGTTGAACCCCGGGGTGCCCTTTTCAGGGCGGGTTTAAAGGGAAACCAACAGCAAATCCCCACAATTGTTGGGTGTTTTTTGCATTACTACTTTTTAAGGTGGGTTCAAAGGGAACCAAAGAGGAAAACCTACAAAACACACACACACAAATGGCCTGTCTTTCTTTGAAGGTGCAACCGCCCATTCTCGGGTTCCCAAAGACTTACTCCGGCCAGGCCAGTGTGTCCATCACTGGAGGTCTCCTCGAATGATTTGAGGCCACTTGAGCCGAGCACGTTTGGTGGTGTGGTGTCTAAAGCTGGACACCACCTTGTTTAACCAAGGGCATGTGGAAACCTTAGTTGAATTGAGTCTTCAACTACAATGTATATGATTTGGTCCGGTGGTCTATCAGTTTGCGAGGAACATTGAGGGGCTCTTAAACAGCCCAAACCACCGGACCCAATTTGCCGGGTGGTTGGCTGGTGGCTTGGATTGGCGCGGGGGCTTGAGATCCTCCTGCGCTCCAAACCACCAATCCAAACCACCGGAGACTGACTTTGACCATCAACACATGAGCCACAATCAAAACCCGGGTAATTGGAGGCTAGTAAGGGACAATCCCAGCCATAAATAGCTGATTATGACTCACATGCGGATTTGTTGTTGCGAATGAGAGGGCTCCCCGAGGACCGTCGGCTGGCAGCGGAGAGGGCGACAGATGAGGCGGTGGCGGAAGGCGTTGCTGTGACGAAGCTTGGCTTTGTGGGCAGGCTTATAGGACTGCAAGCGGAAAGTACTAGGAGATTGGCATTTCCTTTTTGCCAAAGGCCAAGACTGGAGACGGCCAAGATGAATCAGAGGGTGTGTTTGTTATTCAGGGTCAGGGTTCTAGCCTTGAAGCGGGAGACTCTTTACGAGCTCCTCAAAGCCTGGTTCCGGCTTGCTGTTGTTTTTCATTTCTGGAATGGAAACACTGGAGCCTATGAAAGGAGTTAGTCTCGGCAAAAGTAGCGGCAATAGCTTTGGTAGCATGTGGGCAGTCTGGAATTATGGAAAGGGAGGTCTTTACTCAAAGGGGATTCTGGCGGTGCCAAGACTTGTGGGTGCCTTTACAGTGGTGTTGCCTGGCAGTCGGCTGGGCAAATTGGGCGTTGTTGATCAGAGGGGGTTTGTTCACCGGGTGCCGATATTAGGCAAGTGTCTCAAAGGGTCGCGTTGTTGGGTTGAATGGTCGCATTCAGTTCTGTTGCAGGATCTTCTTCAGCCAAAGAGAGCAAACGGCGAGTCAACAGTACGGACGGCCGTGACGATGATTCGGACGGTGCAGCGGACAAGTGTGTGACGGGCAAACGACAGGGGGACGACGGGAGGATGATGGGAGGACGACGGACGGACGACGGGAGGACGACGACCGTCGCCCCGTAGCAATGTCGTCCTCCCGTCGTCGCCCCGTCCGCCCCCGTCGTCCCCCCGTTGTCCTCGCATCTTCCCGCCGTCCACCCGTCGTCACCCCGTCATCCTCGTGTCGTCCACCCGTCGTTCACCCGTCGCCCACCCGTCGCCCACCCGTCGTTTTCTTGACATACTAGCCCCGTACCACACGTTGCTGTATGACTGACCAGGGCTTGCCTTCCCAATTTCTCAAGAATTCCGGGGCCTAGGCATGCCTCAAACTTCTGGGCTCGCTCAGGCAATGATTGTTGACCCCGACAAAAATCCGGACTTAGCCAATAAGTAGTAGAGATCACGCGGAAGATGATTTGTGTTGTTGGAGGTATCCTTTAGTGAACCCTACAGTTGGACCCTGCTTTCTGCCCACCCCCCCTCGCCAACAGCGGATGATGAACCTGTGGATCAACCACTAAAACGGTCTTTCGATTTGAGGTGAGTTTTTGTGTTTGGGGCATATTCGCCCTGCTTGGTTGAAAGTCAAGATGGACCTGTAATGAGAGGTAGCAAGTTTCAATCCTTCGGCTAGGAGAACCTGCACAATGGTGTTCCTGTTGTTTCCCCCTTAAACCAACCCAAAGAGGGTGCCCGCAAAACAGAGACAGCTCTGATGTGTCGAACAAACCGTGTGAACAATCTCTTGGGGATCCTGGAGGACAAGACTCAGAGAACCATACAAAAACGTGGGGGTTGCTCAAAAAGCGCCTCCGCGAGCCGCTTTGAGGCGTGGCGAAGTTGTTCATCCCGATGTTGCGTTTGCTTTTTGGGGACTCCATGAAGAGCGTTTCTTCAACAATAATAACCCCTGCGTTTCCTTTCCCAAGCCGAGAGTCGAAAGGCAACCCCTCCCGTGGAAAAGTCAAATGTCCTTGGCGCAAGACATGACGTGAACCCGCACGAGTGCAAACTGCACAGGGAGGGCTTTTCCCCTTGGAGGCCCCATGTATACACTTGATTGTACCCTACCTCAAATCATGAAAGCACAAAATGCCATTTGTAAACGATGGCAGTCTGCTTCCACCTCCTACTTGTTCAGTGTCAATGGGTTTTTGGAGGGAGGTCAGGAGGTTAGCTTTCATCTTGGGCTTGGAAGGAGAGCACATACTTCTCCGGAACCGTGGTTTGAATACGTCCATATCACCACCCGAAGGCACGCAAGCCTTCAAGCATAGATTGAGGGCTGTCTCGGCCAGTTCCAAGCATCCAAGTTCTCGAAAGTGTTCAGGATCCCTGAATCGGGTGGCACCCTCTGAATCGATGGTGCGATCCTGGTTTTCTCATGGAAGCAGACTGGCAATCAAAAGGGATTCGACCTGGACGTCAGATCAGAAGTTGATTCGACTCGTGAAGTTGATTCGACTCGTGAAGTTGATTCGACTCGTGATGGCTCCAAAGAGACCGATTGCCACTTTCGCAAAGGTCCGCTGAAACCCCCTTAAATTGGAGGTGTCATCCGCCCCCAACACCCAGAGGTGTCCTTTTGGGTTGATTTGGTTGAAAATTAGAGGGCCCTGGTTCACCTGGCGGTTCAATCAACTGCCAGGACCATCGATTTTCCCAAGGACACCTATGCCAACCCCCCCATCCTCCCAGTGTAAAAACATCTCCCAGGAAAGCTGTCCAGCGGCTTCATCAACTGAGTGCCGGCCTCGGAGCGGCTGTCAGATATGCCAGATGGTGGTTTTCCCTTGTCCCACTGCCTGCTTTTCGATTTGGGACAGGAAGGACCCACATTCTGAACCACCCAGTTTGGCGCTTGATTCCGGGGTCGATTTTTTGACTTCTCTCATTTAGAGGCTTACTCGCCTATAGATTAATGCGGATCCCCAAAATCCACCATTTGCAGAGAAAACTCCTTTTGGGGGACCCCCCCTTTGGGTTCCTTGCGGTAATTTGTTAGGGGGTATCCATTCAAGGAGATTGATTGGATGACCATACATCCAAAGAAGTAAGTTGACAACAAGGATCACTGAACCCTCGCGGCCAATGCAGATGTAGCTGGGCGCTTTATTTTTATAGCGGCGCTAAATAGCCCACACTTATCTCATGTTTTGCGAAGAGAGCCACCACAAGCGAATTGGATTTGTGTATTTTGCAAAGCATTGCATGCTTTGGGAGGTCAGGGTGTTCTGGTGAGTATCATTCAGATCGCAACCCATCAATCACTGGTGGATTCATAGACGGATCCTTACATATCTCGCTTCGGGGATTCCGTTTGAATTGCCTTCACAGGCCCTCTCTGGACTTGATAATTCCTCGTCGGGGCCATTTTCCGGGTAAAAATATTCCTCAAGTTTGGGAGCCTCTTTTGGTCGCAAGACACAGCTCAGGAAGTCAGTTGTTGTTCATTCTCGTTTTGTGGTCTGCTACTTCATTTGGCAGGGGCGATCACCTCATGAAGAAATCCGCTCCGTTGGAGCAGTTCGGGGGCTTGTTTTTGGGGTTGCCCTTGAAAGGGCAAGCAACAGGAAAGCCATCATTTTGGAGGGTCGAACAAAAGACACCCAGATGAGTTTGGTGATATAGAAACTGGGGAGTATTTGCTTAGAGGGCTGGAATCGTTGCGGCAAGCACATCCTGAAGCAGGTGTCTGGCTAGGAAGCATAACAGGAGCCATAGGAACTACTAGGAACCATAGGAAGGCGGTTTTACACTACCATAGGAACCAACCAATTGCACCAACCATTTTTTCCGAGGCGATGAAGCTATTTCCGCTGCCCAGGGTGTTGCAGGCGATGGGCTCTTTAAAGTGGTCTGAAAACAGGGGGGCTCTTTCGGGCTCCCTATTTCCCCCCCCCCCCCGAACGGTTAAGATATCACCTTTGCCATACTTTTGGTGAGTTCTTTGTTTGGGGTCATTTTGCGTTTTCTTCGGGTCTCCAGAAGGTTTTCTGTCCAGTTTCGTTTTGGTTGCCTTCTCATTGGATTCAGTTCAGTGCTCATTTACCAGTCAATCCTTGCCGGTTTCTGTTTCCTTGACAGCTTCCTCCACACTCCGCCTGGGCCCAAGGCTCGCGAGAGCTCTCGCTTGGCCCGCTCTCCCTTCCACATCTCACGGATTTCCATGAAAAGGTCCTCCCATTTGACTTGTCATCGAATCGGCATAGTGAAACCATCCATCCACACGCACTTTTTTTTCAGGCTGGACCCCCAACATGGATTTCGATTGTCCTTTTGGCTTCCCTTGAAAACCACAAAACACAAAAGCGGTTGTTGCCCTCAACAAAAGAAGTCCATGTGTCCAACAGCACACCTGGGTGCTGGAAAACGGTCTCCTTTGAGTCGTTTTTTTCACCGCCTTCACGGGGAACATGCCCCTATTCAGGCGTGGAGCTTCATCGGTATCGGATGTGCTTCTCCAGCAGTGTTTGCGACTTTCTTGCTTTCTTGCTTGAGGGGTTGGCCCCTTCCCTTGTTTCTCCAAGCGCGAACCGCCGACGTATCGATGTGTTTTGTCTTTTCCTGAGGCATAAGTCAAAACCAGCGCAGGACCCTGCAACCCCACTACATCCTTATTTGTTTGCATTTGTGTTCATGGAAGAGGCACATCTCCAAGACGCCCGAATATCCGAATGTGTTGAACCGTTTTCGGACCATTTTGCTTGGTTGAACAGCCCCTGGGACCCTGGGTGCTAAATAACCCAAGATTATTTGTTGCGCCTACAGGAACCACACAAAGATGGATTTTGCGAGCGTTTTTCGAGATAGACAATGTTATGACACTCGGTTCTCATTGTGCGCACTTGCCATTTGACTGACCTGCCACGACACCCGCGTTGTTGTTCATTGCTCAGGCTTAGCCCCGCTCATTGATTTACCAATAGCAAAACGCGCAAGGGTCTGGCCTTGTGGTCGCCATCGAGCAGCTGCTTGTGTGGCAAGAACATCTCTTTGACTTGAACTCTTACTATTTCTTAATCGTATGTATACACATGCATCCAATGGACATATGCACATCGTTTTGATAGCATAGCTCGAGAAAACTCTTGGTTTCAGGGAACCGACGCGCATTTTCCCGCTATGAAGCAGCGGCTCCGTCGAGTGGACTCCTTCGAGGAGATCAGGAAGGCTGGCCTCTTTCGTGGCGTCGGGATTCTCCAGGCGCGAAAGAAGCATTGACATGGTACTTGGGAAACATCTTACGTTTGCTTATTGTGTTTTAGTGGGAAATCCCCACTTAACTGCTAGAAATTAGTTTTTGCTCCCCTTCCAACGTCAACCAAGTTGAAGGTTTGGGCTTTGGGCTGAGAGTTCGGGCCCTCAGAAAGGGGCACGATGCAGGGTCAAGGGCCATGACCTTGGCCAGCGCTTGCTTCATGCTGCGCGGGTTTTAGGTTCTGTTCGACTTGCTTCTTTAGGCTCCCCCCGCCTCGAAGCTTTGTGTTCTTCGAACACGGGCTGAAACTTGGCGGGAGCGGCTGGGCGTATGGCCAGGTGCTCCAGTATCAGGCCTTTGTTTTCCGTGACGGTTTGCATGGTGTGGTGGGTGCCGGCACTTTGACGGCTTCCATCGACGGCTTCGACGCGGAGTTTGAGGCGACAAGAAAGGTTGATGAGGCCAGCACACGGTGATTCAATAGAATGCGCTGTGCAATATTTTGGGAACAGGGGTTTCGGGGTACATGGAACTGCCATGGTGTTAGAACTAACTGAGTTACTCGTGCATGAAGTTGTATGTTTGCAGGAACCCCACCGCCAGATAATCTCGCGGAAGAGCTCGTCGCGGTGTTTTTGTTGGAAGCTTGTGTCTTTGCCTTGTGTGTTTTAGGCAGCTGGTGAATTTGCTCACCCTTGAGTTAGCTAACCAGCTAGCCAACATACCTAAAAACAACATGCTATAGTTAACTTGCACAAGCTTCGTGCTACCCAATTAACTAGCTAACTAGCTAATGGAGCTAACTACCTATGACTAGCGCACTAGTAGGCGCACTAGCTATTTATCCAGATGCTAAGCCAGCTATCAAAGTAGCAAACTAGCTTACTAGCGTACGAGCTAATAACCAGCTATATAGATAGCCAGCGAGCTACTGTTTAGTTAGTTTGCTAGTTATTTGGCTGCTAGCTCTTCTAAGACTTGCTAGCCCACTAACTACCTTGTCCTCGGGCTTGTTAACTACTTGTTCGGTTTACTATCTGGTTAAACTGGCTAGCTAACGATCCAACCAGCGAGCTAGCCAATCGCACAGCCAACCAAGCTGCTCAATAGCTAACTACCTAACTGGTGAACTAGCTCTTCCTTATTGGTCTGACTTCTACATGAATTTGGGGCGGACGGTCCGGGGAGGACGATGAGGTGAACCCTTACCACTGTGTGGCGTCAGCTATGTAAGTAATACTGTTTGTGGCTGAGGTGGATCTATTTATCAGCCACACTTGGATGTCAGACCGCTGGTTGAAGTATGCCGCCATTTGCTTTCATTTGAACTTCAAGCTCGCCGTGGGCATTTCGATTGGTGCCTGGATGTCAGTGATTTGCTACCTTGCCGCAACTGGCATCAGCGCTTGGGGGGGTTGCAGGTATCTTGTTCTGGTGGGTGTCTATGCTCCCACGCTGCTCTTCTTCCTTGTGTTTTTCCTGGGTCACAAGTTGAGCAGCCTCGCGCATGAGCTCCCTACAGTCTGGCTAGACAAGGTTTGCATCCATCAGACCAATGAGGCCATGAAAGCACTGCAGGTGAACGCGCTACCCGTGTTTGTGGCACGTTCTCGGGAGATTCTTGTGCTGTGGAGCGATACCCTGTTTGAGCGTCTCTGGTGCTGTCTGGATTCTTGATCACTACTTTGTCGGATTTCGCATTTGCTGCCCCTGTGTATATTTGTTGCGCACCTCCAATGTATTGAAGAAAATAAAGATCCTTTGTCAGGGGTTGATTCATGAGAGTCATGGGCCCCGGCTTCTTATCTCTAGGATTGTGTTCATTTTGGGGGTGTTGGCCACAGGAAAAGGGGCGGCCCCACTTTAGTGATGGCTAAGGAGTTGGCAACTTTTGCAAAGTACGGGGATGTGGAAAGCATGCGGTTCGCGCCGCTATGGCTGGCGCCTTGGCTGCTGTCGTCGGTGCTCCTGGATCTTGCCAGCACCTCACTCTTGGAGGTCCTTGAGATACTTATTCCAAATTGGACCTCGTTCTTCATGAAACCGCTGAACGGCTTCTTTGCAGAGGTATTCCATGTAGAGGAAGGCTCTAGACTGGCGGGTTTTCTGGCCGCCTTGGCGATCTGGTGTTTGTCAGGGCTCTGCTACCTGCCGGCATCGATTCCCGGATGTGTGGCCTTCCAGCGAAAGCTTTGCAATCACAAGCTCATGCTCGAGCAAATGTCGAGCTTTGACATCCGCGAAGCAAAATGCTCAGTTGCCAGCGATCGCCAGCTCGTTGAAGATCAGGCTCCGGGGATAGATATCGACCAGCAGGGCTTCCAAGAATTCACCCACATACATACATATATATATATACATGTACAGTGTGGTCCCTTTGTATAAGAACACCAACAACATGCCAGACAAGGATTTCTAGTTGTTGGAAACCCCAAACATACACTGTACCAGCATGTTTGTGAAACTCTGCTTGAAGGATAGGATTTTGCCATGAGGAGCTTTGATTATGCCTTTTGTGAACCCTTCGTGATTTATGCCAGTCAAGAGAGACATTTACGGGCCCGAGGTGGTGGAACTGTGGAGGCATGATGTAGACAGCCCGCGGGCAGGACCGCTCGCAGAATCTCGGGTCAGCGGGGATGCTGAGGAGGCCCTTGATCGCTTCAACGCCTACATCCGGGGGCCTTTGCAAGCTGCTGTTGTGGAGAGTATCGGACATGAGGCCCATGTGCCGTACTACCTCTGCGTGGTTGCCTTCTTACCTATGAATTTCTATTCGCTGGTGAACACTCTGGGATGTGACAGCGGACCCTGTGAAACTTCAGCCAGGAATGCCGGTTTTGACTCAGTGGAGTCGTATTTGGGCACGCAGGCGCTGGCATGGTTGCTGTGCCTGCTTCTCACCTTTCCTCTCACCCAGCCTGTTCTCTTAAGGCAGGGTGCTCTTTTTGGACCTCTTTTGAGCGAAACCAAAGGCTGTGCTTTTTGTTTTGAGGGTACCCTTTTCACCTTGGTTGCAAGAAAAAACCAAAGGCCACCGCATTTTTGTTGCTTCCCCTTTTGACAGAGCGATATTGGGCCCAAGGTCTTACGCCCATTCCCTTCCAAAAAAACCTAGCCACACCACCCTGTTCTCCCAAGGTGTGTCCGGCTGGCGATGTCCTGCACGGAAGGTCACCATCTGAAGACATTTCTGACAGCTTTGTGCTGCCCTGTCGCCTATGCCTACTCCTACATCTGTGGGGGTGCGATATGGGGGTTGCTCGATTTCTAAGCAAATCCACCGGATCTGTTTCATGTAGCTTCCCAAAATTTGGTGAGTTTCTATGGCCCCAACAGCTGCACCTTTGACTTCTGGTTCCTTTGGGCAACTGAGGTTGGCCTTTGCTACCGTTCAAAACTATTCTCCTGCGTGGCTCGCTGCGCTTGTGTTCTACCTCACCTTTCTTGTGGCGCAAGCCTTTTTGCTCTTCAGTGGCTAGGCTGCTTTGTGGTTTTCTTTTTTGACCTCTGGTTTGCTTTCGCGTTTCACAACCGAAAAAGTACAAGCTCATCTTCTTTTCTTGGGTTCCATGGAAAGTTAGGAAGCCCTTTGTCTGCTACGAGCTATCACACCGACGCCAGCCAGAAATACTGCTGCTCGGGGCGGCAAATCGTTTCGCAGTACGAGGAAGTTCGACCCATGCTTCCGTCGGCATTTGCCACCTCCGGAGGCTCAGAGTAATCAGTTCGCATTTGCTTCACTTTTATAGTCACTCCGCTCGGGACACATGAGCGCTCACATGTCAGAGCGTTAGAGGCAACCCTCACATGGCTCTTGTTACATCAGTATCAGATGGGTCCCTGCTTGGTCGGTCTTAGTGGTGAGGACGCCATCTTTGTTTTTGATGGGGGCTGGTGCTGTATTTGGCAAGTCTCCAATTTTGCCGTTGGTTTGAAGGCGGGCCTAACGAGCTTGCCTGATGCCTCGTCAAGGAAGTGCCGTTGGGCGTTGACACAAACCCAAAATAATGAGATTGTAGCATAACCTGACAAAAACGGTTCTCATAGTATACATTCAGAATCCTTTCATTGTTGAATTGTAGTACACCGTGAGGCGGCCCTGTCTCCTGCAGACGCCAAGCCAAGGCTTTCGTTTCACCAAACCCGTGCGCGAGTGAAAAGTCGAACCTGGTATATGCTGTATTCCAGCATGCTGGGAGACTAACAACAAGTCAGCATTGCTTCCTTGAATCATGTTGGGGTGCTGAACCGGATTTACGAAATATGACCTTTCATGGTGTTGGGGGGCCATGATCAAGGAAGGAGCGTTCTCCTCCTCCAAACAAGGCCTTGATAGGGCCTCGAGAGGAGCAGATTACGGGCCCAAAGGGATTCAATCGTTGGAAACGAGAGATGCCCTAGTTGAAGGCGCCTCATGTGTTGTGCTCATCTTACCCTTGCCCTAGTTGGGCACCCATCGACTCGCTATGACTTGCGCAGAATCTTTGAGGGGCCTGTGCCCGGCCAGCTTCAAGCGCGGTCCTTTTTGTCTCTTCAAGGATGGCCAACTTGGTGTGCGTTTTTGAGGGTACCCTTGTTGGGTCGGTTTAAATGGAAACCAGAAGGACACCGGCATTGTCGCAGGTCCCGCTATTTTGACACACACCCGCCTGTTGCCCAGGGTGTACCACAGGGTGTACCCCAGGGTGTACCCCAGGGTGTACCCCAGGGTGTACCCCAGGGTGTACCCCAGGGTGTACCCTAGATGGTTCAGGAGTTAGTTAGGCAAGTTGCTTTGGTTCACCCCTCGCAAATCCAAACCCAAGTACTCACTTGCAACCACTGGTCCGTTCGGTGGAAGAAATGGAAGCGATTATTTTGGTTGGTTGATTTCATTTGTAATGGGAACCTACACAACAACATCAGATAGCGGGGGGTGCCACTGAACAACTGTTCCGACTTGTCCGATTTGCTGCACGCACTCAGCCCTACACCAAAACACGTCGACGACAATGGTTCCACTACGCCTTAGGCTGCACGGATTGGAGTGACCCCTGTAGTGTGCGTGGCCTCACATGCCTAATCCTCAAAAACTCTACTGCACAAGGGGAAGCAGCCCATGTCACTGACACAGGTTTGCGTCAGACAACCACCCATGTCATCGGCAGCTGTGCAGCCAATGGCGGGAAAGCCAGCCAGCAACCCTGAACTAACCCTGAACCAATCCTGAACCAATCCTGAACAAACCCTGAACCAACCAAGGCCAGCCAAAAAGAAACATCCAAAAACTGGATGGGACCTTGTCAACCTTGGGGGATTGTTCATGAACCAACCCTAAGCCAACACTAACGTCTTTGGTCAAAAATTGCTTTCGGCTTTCGGTCAGATATCGCCACGCGGCAGCCGCGCGCCTCCTTGACGCTGGCAGGCCGGGTTTGGGATCATGTCATGGCTGGGTTTGGGTCAACCCGGGTCAGGCCATCGCTGAGACCAGATGCATTTTCATTGGATCCCAGACTCATCTCCTTCCTGGGATCCTTCGTCACGTTGACTTCCTTGAATTCCCCCGGTCCTCAGGGCACCAAAGTGGGCAGATCCTCACTAAACCCATGCCCCAACTCATAAAGCGCGGTTGATTCTTCCCACTAACTGGCAGCAAGTCAGGCTTTTTGAGCGGGGTCAAGACCAAGCCGGGACATGAGCACGGCCAATATTTACGATACTCACGGTTCGGGTAGAATAACTAGCGGGGGAGAATAACTAGCGGACTATGGTCAGCTTGGGGACTCACGGCCCTTCACTACTTTCCCCATGGCCGCAGGGACTTTCGGCACCGCACTCATCCAATTTGCCAAAGTGATTTCGCCCATGGTGATATCCCCATCTTCGAACCTCCTTGGAACCCGGCACCCTACCCCAGAGAACCTTTTTGGGATCGACCCCAGGGCTTTCAGCTCTTGGGGAAAACTGGATGTGAGTTGATTGGGTGGACACCAGCAGTACATGCTTAGATGTAGGTAACCACCAACCATCTTTGAAGGGTTCAGCTCTTGGACTTAGCCAAGGGCTGGCTCACCGAATTCCCATGTGACAATGTGGCACTTTGTCTAGACGACGCGGACCCCCCCAAGTTCGGTAGTTTGTCTCTTTAGTTTGGCAATGAAGCAACACAAAACTCAGAAAGGATGACTTACCCATGTCAGTTCACCTCGCGTACCGATTGGGTCCGCTCAGCTTTGGGATCCTCTCATTTTTTTTTCCGATGACCCACCCTCAGATAGCCCTTAGTTGGTGGTTTGGAGTTCCTTTCTTTTGTAGGGTAGAGAGACGGGTGCTCCCGCCTAGCCACCAATCCAAACCATCAATTGGGGGAAAGCTACTACCCCGCATCGGCATGTGTTTGTTTGATTTGAGAGTACCCCAAAACATCTTGAAAGAAGAACCCCCCCCCCACGCACCCCTCGTCAAGCATCAAATACACTTCAGGGTTGAGCCAACTGGCAACATGTTAAAGCCACCATTTTGAGAAGCCTGCTTTGGGATTCACTAAGGCGACAATGTCTAAAAACCTTTCAACATGTTGCCTAAGTCTTAAAGTCGACCATTCCCAAACATGTTTGATTATACTTATTGAGTTGACCACGACTAAACATGTTTGATTGTACTTACTAAGGCATCCATGGCTAAACATGTGTGCGCATACTTATGAAAGCCACCATGCTAAATATGTGTGATCCTTATTAAGTCGACGATGGCTAAAACTGTTTGAACATGCTTGTTGACTTGTTAACTCAATCATGACTAAGCATGGTTGAACATACTTATTGAGTCGACCATTGCTAACAGCGTACGAATATGTTTGTCAAGTCGACCATGACTAAGCATGGTGGGACATCTTATTAGGTCGACTAGGGCTAGCAATGTTTGAACATACTGATTTAGCCAACCATGACCAAGCATGTGTGAACATACTGATTGAGCCGACCAGGACTAACCATGTTTGAACATACTTGCTAAGTCAACCATGACTCACAATGTTTGAACATGCTAAATGAATCAACAAGTTGCGGACATACTTAATAAGTAGACCATGACACAACATGCTTATGAATTCGACCATGACTATACCATATGTTGAGCATACTTATTTAGTTTGGCAATGGCTAACAGCGCTTGCACATAGTTATTAAGTTGACCACTTCCATTTGCTTAATATGGTTAATTCTCCCTGTTGGGTCTAAATGGGAGTGGACTCTATCACCACTGGATATATGATTTTCTTGTCCATAGGCTTAAGCAAGTTGAAGACCACTAAAAGCCTTACACGTGTTGCCCGCGCCCCAAAGGGGCCTGGCCTTTTCCGGCCTAAGCTCAGGGCCGGCGGCCACGTCTCTGGCGGTGGACGCCGAGCAGCTGCAGAAACTCAGCGATGAGCTGGGCTCCTCCAAGGTGGATCGAGAGGGGAATGAGTCGGAATGAGACTAGGTCCCCCAGCAATTGGTGCCCTTTGCCTTTTGCCCTTTCTTTCTTTTACCTTTTTTGTTTGGTTGGGAGGGTTCCGGAATTCAAACAGACTACAGAAACCTCTCTAGAGGACCTAGGAGAAATGGTGCTTGACCCGTCGATAACCACCGTGGAATGACCAGAAACGGCGTTTCTTATTCCCCAGAGAGCACCAGCAAGTTGGTTTGGGCTGGGTTTGGATTTTTTGGATTTGAAGGGGTCACATGGCTGGTCATTTGTTGAATACCCAGAGGCTTGGTCCAAGGAAATTCTGGAGGACATGGGTAGACTCGCTGAATTTCCGGCACGGGGGGCTCATATGTGTACGTGTGTGGACATAGCGAAATGGCACCCATTGATCAAAATTGTGGTTTTCCATGGGGTTTCCCTTTGCACTATCTTTACAAAGCAACTGACAATATTCTTGGTAGGCTATTCTGGGCAGGACATGGGGGGACAACCCAAATTGCAACAGGACAACCCCACCGGCCTCAGAAAATGCTGGCTGCAACCAAGGGGAAGGCCCCACGAATCGGATCTGATTCCACGCGTCCCAATGGTCTGTCATGAATCAAAGGACTGGGAGTTGATTGAGACATAGCATTGATTCGGACAACCTGCAGTTGCAAAAGGGGCTTGTTTTCTGGAGGCTTCCTATGTTTGGTTCAATGTTGTGGTTTCAATGGAATGCCAGGAACACCGAAGCCATTTTGGGGGATCCCTGAACAAAGACACCTCCCCTAAACCAAACCAAAGAGAGGCCATAAAGACAGCAAGCCAGAGCGGCAAACATGCCCAACCCGTTCTTCGGGGAGGGGGGGGGGGGGGGGCGAAATTGTTCAGGTTGACTATGGAGCCAAATGATCATTACGAAAGCTGCAAAGGGGTGTACCCAAATGGAATAATATAAATATATATATATATGTATATGATCGACTCAATTCCCAACAACATAAAGAAGGGCTCACACTTGTGCTATTGCAAGGTTTACGGATCGGGTTTTCTCGGCGAGGAATTCGGTGTTCCTTTCAGTTTTCCGAAAGGTGGAGGCTGCCAGCATGGCATCTCAAGCGCTGAAGCTAGGCGAAGGGGCAGCGGGGGGGGGGGGGGGGTTGGGACGGACGAGTGGGGTTGGGGTTGGGGAAAGGGTTGGGGGGTTGGGGGGGATGAACCTCTTACACCCCAGTTTCTTATGTGTAGAGCAAACTTATTCTCAGGGAGCCACGGGAGGTACAGCGAGCTCACTATGAAAGTCCATTGTTCGGGGATCCAACTCTTAGGAACTCTGTAAATTCATGCAGCTGTATTATTTGTTAATGCATCTTTTTGCTGGCTATGAAAGGAAACAAAGGTAGACCATCTTCAAGACACAATATAGTCGCCTTCACAACAGGGTTACCGAAAGGGATAGAGGGCACAGTTGTTTTTTCATGTTTTCGGAACCGTCTGGTTTGTTTCCCCTGGAGGGCACCAGAAAACCAAGCATTTTGGAGGTCCCCAAATTTTAAAATTCGTATTGGCCATGACAATGTCGTTTTCCAGCTGATTCGGAGGAACCTCCAAACCACCCATCCGAACCACGCAATTGAAAGCGAACCTGCGCTGAGTTCAGGTGTGTCTCCAAGGAAAATCTTCATCAGCACCTCAGATTGGGTTGCGTCCTGGGACAGGTCCTGAGATGGGTGCTGGCAGTTCTGGGACTTGGACCAGTCCTAAGCCCAGGACTGGTTTCAGGAACCAGACACACGGACCAGGATCAGGACTGGTTACAGAACTATATGGGTTCAGGACCGTCCCAGGACTGGTCCTAGAACTAGGACCGGTCCTGGGACCGGATCCCAAGCACTTCAGTCCAGTTGCATCCCACGCCGGTCCCCTCTGCAGGTGGCAGGGACGCTAGACCCCTTGGGGTTTAATCTGTTTAATCGTTGGTCGCTGTCGGACGACATGTGCTGGGGTTGATTCGCCTCCAGGGTGGCAACATTCCCTTGAAACGTATATATATATATATATATATATATATATATATCAGAAAGGGACCCTGTGAGCGTTGGGTTTTTGCACACACCTAATTTTGCTGCATTCTGGCCAAAACCGAGGAAAAAAAAGGATTCTGGGACAATGTGCTGGTATCATGCAAACAGTTCTCCACCTTACCCCCCCCTTGCAGATGTCAGGAACATCGAGAAATCGAAAGATTCTGGGACAATGTGCTGGTATCATGCAAACAGTTCTCCACCTTACCCCCCCTTGCAGATGTCAGGCTCCTGTCCCAAAACCGAAAAAACATCGAGAAACCGAAAGATTTTGTCCAAAACCAAAAAAAACCTCGAGAAATCGAAAAAAAACCAAAAAAACCAAAGATTCTGGGACAATGTGCTGGTATCATGTAAACATTCTGTTGGCCAGATTGTTTTTTTTGGTTTTTTTCGATTTCTCGAGGTTTCTTTCGGTTTTGGACAAAATCTTTCGATTTCTCGATGTTTTTTTTTTATTTTGGATGGTTTCTTTCGAATTCTCAATGTTTTTTTTGATTTTGGACACCTTCTTTTGATTTCTCGATGTTTCTAAGGCTGCCTGCGGCAAAAGCTTCAACACAGGACAGCTTTGCAAGGAAGAGCTTAGAAGGTTTTCAAGAAAACCAAAGGTGTGGCCAGCCCGACAACACAGCTTCAGGTGACAGCAAGCCCGACAGAGTCCTTAGCTTCCAGCCAGCTTGCACCCAGCCCCAGCCCAGCTAGCTTAGAGAAGAAACAGTTCAGCGTAAAGAAGTTTTTTGGAACACCAGAGCAGCAAGCCAAGGAGATAGAGCCTGTGCTATCTAACAGGGTAGTTCCATACCAGAGGCAGCAGCAGAGCAAGCTGCAGAAAGAAGCTGCACTAGTGAAGTCAGCTTACCTCCAGAAGCTAGCAGAGCTGGAGAAAGAAGACCCAGAAGAAGCTGTAACAGGCAGACAAGGTGGCAGGCCTCCAGTTCTGGAAGAGCGTAGAGGAACTGCAGGTGGGCAGTTAAGCAACAGGAAGAAGGAGACAGATCCTTCCAGGAAGCAAGAGCTTTTTGCCTTTCAGAAGATGAAGCTTAGTGAAGAGATTCAAATGATTCTGGAAGAGTCTCAGCCTCAGAAGCAGAAGCTTGGGCAGTTGCAAGGAGAAAGTTCAAGATGAGCACACAGAGGCTGGAAGATTGCAGAAGAGGTTTGCCAGAGCAGCTAGTGGAGGGAGAAAGAGAGAGTTTAGCAGAGAGATCTCTCAACTTGGCAAGTGGTTGCAGAAAGAAAGGAGTTATAGCCACAACGTTTCAAAGAATGAGCTGCTGAAAGAGTTCTTTGCCCTTCTGGTTGCAAGGGCAGAGAGATGCATGGTCAGGGCAGAGCTTTGCAGAAATGAGATGCAAAGGAAAGCTTGGCTGAAAGAAGCTGACTGTGCCCTACAGAGAAAGACCAAGCTCCTTCTCCAGCAGAGCTCAAAGAATTCTTATGTAGAGAAGCTGATCCAATGGCTAGGTGCAGCTTACTTGAGCAAAGATCAGACTACTCGCCTGGCGCCAGTTGAAGAACAGGCGCGGGCCCAGCTCACCTTCCAGGATATTGACAGAAAGCTCTGGCATCTAGGCGTTGCTGAGATTGAAGATGCACATTTGGTTGGTAATCGGCACGAGTGATCAAGTCCCACTTTGGGCCAAAGATCCAAGCAAGAAGTTGGTCTTCTCTGCAGATGAGCTCAAAGGTGCCAGTTGGGACGACAGAAAGAGGTGGACTGAGATCAGGTAGGAGCTGAAAGCTGCTTAAGTTCAGGCAGCTGAAGAAGGTTACCAGCTTGTCAGTTGGGCAGATGTAGGAGCAGGGCCTCTCAAAGTTGCAGGTAATAAGGTGATGGCAGGACAAAGTTCAGATGAAAAGTTTCGTTTAACATACGAAGCTTGCCAGAAGATTTACAACATAGGAGCTCCAGCAGGAACAGCTCTGCAAGGCGACTACTGCGGCGCAAGGTCGGCATAGGTAGCCATCCACGATCTCCTTGAGATCCTCGTAGGTCATGTCTTCTGCTGCAAGTGCCATCTTAGCCCAGAGTGGAGGGTGGGACGACTCAGTGCAGGATGCAGATGGATGAGATGCTTTCTAGCTGGCCAAAGTTGCAGCGCAGATCGCGGTCAGAGGATATATACACACATAACTGCACACAACTCCCCAATTCGGAAAAACACTCGTTTCACATGGAAAATACCCACGCTGAGGGGGTCCCCCTCTCATATATATATATATGTGTGTACAAATGGGGGATGAAGCCTGTTTGGGGCTGGGATAATAAGCATAGGTACAAGCATTCCCTGAAGCTTTTTGGTCAAGGCTACCAGTCTAGCCGTCCCCATGCGGAATCCTTCTCTGCAGAGGCGCAGTGGGGAATCAACCCACGCCATGCCTTCGTTTGAGCCAAAACACATGGTAGAAAACAGTGCTAAAGCGGTGTGCACCTAAGCAACTGTGCGTTTTTGCAATAGTTGTGCCCTTCTTTGTGGGAAGCCCGACGTGCCATTTGTATTGCTTCCCCGTTTGAAGGCACCCTTTCGGTTCGCCAAATTGGGTGACTTTGAGCTTCCAGCAAGCAGCCCTTCGTGCACAAAAATCAAGGGCATGTAATACTGTAACCCCACTGGCCTCTCTTTGCAGGTGCTCTTTGGTGTTTGCGATTGCAACACACTTCCCTGGAACCCATGAGGCTCCTTCACCGTGGTCAAGCGTGATTCTCGACATGTCAGGCTGTCAAAATGTTGTTGGCCACGTGGGGGCATTTTGTTGCGTTGACCCCCCCCCCCCAATTGCGGAAATACGAATACAGGAGCCCCTCGGGGCTGATGATTGACGGTTGTTGACGAAGGGTCAACAGGTGTGTGTTTCTTATTGAAAGTACCATTTCGGGGGTTGTTTTTCAAGGGAGACCAAAGACCACTGGGCACCATTTCCAGGGGTTCTCCACGGGAAAATTCCACTGTGCAGGTAAAAACCTGGAAGATGCATCGGAAAAAGCGGCGTACTGGAGGCTGGTCAGTTGCTTCGGGCTGGGCAGCGCTTAAAGTCAGCGAGTCGAGAATGACCGAGCCCGAGGACTGTTCGTTTTCATACGCAGAAGAGCCACCCCAAGCAAAATGGACAGTGTTTGGATGGTTGACCGCCCTGCCTTCTATTGATTCACTTGGGCTGCCAGGGATTGAGATAAGACTGATTTCTGGACTGCTGCCTTATATTCAGTACCACAGAATTCTGAACGCGGCAATGTTCTGCAATCTCTTTGTAGTCACCCCGATGGATGCTTGGATATTGCCAGCTAGCACCCTTCCACCCTTTTGCAGGCGACCTAGAGAGCTTCCTACCTTTGGGCTTTACATGGTTACTCATGGTTATACATGCTAGAAGGGCAACCGAAATCACAGGGCGTGATGCCAGTGATGCCCAAGAAAACATGTCCCCTACGGCGCCTCCTTGTGCGCCAGGCGGAGGCATGAGGAGGCGGAGTCTGCAGAGGCGTGATTGCCGAATCACACGGAGGTTTTTGAGGCTCCGCTTTCAAGAACCCCCCCTTTTGTCCAGGTTACTAATCTGGATGAATTATAACGACCTCACACGACCTCACCTCAAATGGTGGTTTACGTGGGGAATAGCCCCCCAACCACCTTATTTCAGGTTGGGTTGGTGAAAAAATATAATTCACCCAGACTAATAGGGGGTTCCCCATTTTAGTGCGGATCCTTTACTTTCTGAGCGATCTAATGTGGGGTAGTCTGCGACCTGTGAATCATGAACACTTATTGCGATTCCTACACAGCTGGTTCATAGAAGTTTGAAGGGGCAAATGCTCGCATTCAGGGCATGTGCCAGCGGTTCACCGGATAGGGCTGGTAAGTTCCAGCAAGCTCACTTTTTGTGTTGTTGGGGGGTGGTGCAGAGTAACAGTTGGTCCAGCGCATGTGAGAAATGATCGCCAGTCTTTGGGAATGGTCTTGCAATGTGTTGCACTTCCAGCCTGCGAGTTTCTGACTTAACTGGTCAGCCCGTGTCCACATTTATTGGAACTCCGTTCGATCGGCTGCCTAGGGCCATACTCAGGCCTTACATGGGCATGGGTTGGCGGGTGGGGTGGGGGTGGGGTTGGGATTCCATGGTGTTCGACTCTGTTCTTCTAATCGTTTTTGTTGTTGTTGTGTTGTCTGCTTGCACACCTAGGTGATCACGTGGCTATTCTGATCGACTGTCATTTACACTCCGCAGTTGGAAAATTGCGAGCAAATATCAATCTGTGTGGCAGCCAGTTAATTCTTTACATGGTCTTGGGTTGGCCACTTGAGATCTTGTGGCGTTCATTGTGTCTCCAACGCAGTTTGTTAGAACCCCCCGAAAGGTACAGCGTTAGGCTCCAGTCTCCACCTCCACCTTTCCCACCTTTCCCTTAGATACTACTCGTAACCCAAGCTTTTTGTTTATTGTCTTGACAGCGGCAGACCTTTGGCAAGCAGCATGCGTCGCGTCTGGTGCAGGCGTCCTCTCCTCTCCAGCCTGAAGAGGCGCAGGAGCGGACCATTGCATGCGAACCTGCGGGTTTCGTTCTTTGACACAAGTATGGGATGTGTCTTTTCTTGTCTTTTTGTTGGGGTTGAATCCTTTTTGGGTTGGTTTACATGGAAAAAGGACAGCCACCCAAAATCATGGGGGTCGCAACATTTTGGACACATAGGTGTGCCCTCCTTGGCCAAGCATCTTTGGATTTGCTCGCCGCAGCCCGTGGCAGGAGCGCGAGTCAAGCGAGCCCAGCGACAGGCCAGGAGCCCAGCTCTTGGCCTCGGTGGTTTTTTTTTTGGGGGGGTGCAGCACTTGTTCGTGTGTTTGCTTAAAGAGATCCGTTTTGAGGGTCCGGTCCCCGCAACAAAGAGACCCCCTTTTGGTTTCTGCCATATCTGTATGGCTTTTGGAACCAAGCCTCTGAGCCTTGTGGCATCAACTCGCTTTGGCACCGTCCGGATTGTGTCTCAAAGGCGACTCCTTCTTGGATGTGGTCAAAGGAAAGCAAAAAGGACACAACCTGAAGGTTGTTATGACAGACCCACATGAACGGGCCTTACCTGTTTTCCCAGTGTGGCAACCTTAGCCAGAAATGTGTGGTGTGCCCTGGTTTCCCTTCCAAACCGCCAGAAGGGTAACCAGTTAACCTTCAAAAGACCCCCCCCCAAAGAAAACAAAAAAAAAAACAGCTCCCAGATCAAGGGCAACATGGTGAGTGTGTGTGTGCGTGCTTTTTTTGGGGGACTCCCAAATAGTGGTTTTCCTTTTGGCGATCATCTTGATGACTTAGCTTCGTCCCAGCGCACGCGGAGGCCTCGGATCCTGCGAGTGGAGGCGGAGATTCGCTCGGAGGAGGAGCATGGTCCGGACGTGTCATATGGCCCCGAGCACCGGTGTGGAGGGCGTGTCTTAAAATGAAGGGACTGCCCTTTGCGCAAACCCCTTTGCCTTGCAGTTTGATTTGAATCTAGGACTCAGCTGAGACGCATTTTGAGATGGCCCTTTGTGCTTTTGGACACTGCATGGGAAGACTGATCAAATCATGTCCAGCGTCCAGCAGGATGTTATCTGCACTGTTCTTGAACCTCGGCAAGTATCTAGCTACCAGTTGGCCAGTAGGTTTGTGAGCTGGTGTCGCCCACAACAGAGGCCACAAATCCAAGAATTTGCAAAGAAACAACTCGTGGGTCTTCAGCTTACATGCGCTCACGACTCCGCGAGTTTTGCCCGATTGTGTTTGCACTACTCGGCCCGGGGGATTCGGGACTCACGTCGGTGACAACAAAAAGTTGCCCTGGACCCATGCATGGTTGTCGCTGGGAAACATTTTACATTTTTGCTTATTGTGGTTTACTGGGAAATCCCCACTTAGCTGCTAAAATTTAAATTTGTGCTCCCCTTCCAACGTCAATCAAGCATGTATATTGATTCGCACACGATATGTTTTGTATGATGCATGTATCCGTCTTCTTGTTTGCTGTTTGTGGACATGTTTAGGCCCGACATTCGTCCATTGTTGCTCTTTGGTTTTACTGAAGTGACCTACACTGGACGTAGATGTTCCATTCCATTCTGCCGCTAGGAAGTCTGTGTGGTGCATGATGCATGGCAACCTTGATCCGGAGGTCAAACTAGCATGCTTTTGAAGGATTTGCGGATCCATGTAAACATGGCGTATGGTCGTTCGTTTGTGGACCTTGTTTGACTTGAGGCCCCGGATGTCACAGATGTGGCCATGTGCAGCTTTATGGTGAACATGAGACAAATCCCACCAGGAACGAACCCTTCCAGGAACCGCTTCCGATTGGTTTCCTCCTTTGGAAGTGGGTCAAGAATTGCAGATTGGCTGCTCAAGCAGGTTTTTCAGAACCCTTCCCACTAACATTGGAGCTGACAAGGTCCCTTCAGAGCTTCCAAGCTGGGCGGGTACAGCGTGCTTGTGTGGGAACTATGATGACCTGGGCGTGCGAAGATGGAAGGTTGGCAAGGGGACAGTGATCTCGAAGATCGGTGCGGATATCCACCCTTGTGACTATTAGGGTGGCTCATCTTTTTGTTGAGTTCGTACTCTTTCTAAAGGGGAAGGGAAACCAAAAGGAACAAAATCCATTTCCCCTAAAAGAAGACGCACACACACACACACATTCACATGCTTGTAGGTAGGCTTTGGATGTGGGTCACCCCCATTGGCCAGATGGCCTTGAACCCTGTGGCATGCCATCCAAGTTCAGGTGTTCAGAATTCGCCTTCTGACCCCAGCTTTCGCGAGAGGAAACTCGGAGCCTCGGGTTACACCTTGAGGTTGTGCTAAAAAGGTCAAGCGTCAAGCCGAAAGGGGCTGTGTTGCATTGATCGCCCAGTTTTGACCGAGGGTTGGGACACTTGTTCTCAAACCAAAATGGGCGCGCCTCGTTTTTAAGGGGACCCTCCCCAAAATGATGGCTTCTCCTTTTGGCTTTCCTTTGCAAGCCCAGTTGCCAACTACCCTTGACTCGCGCCTGGAGAATCCAGGAGCTTGCTGAAGCCTTGCGAGAGCCGGGGGGCACAGCTGAAATTGGTGCGAGTTGGTTGGTTGTATTGTTTGAACATTTTAGTGTTGCATGTTGTATTTGCTGCTTGTTGTGATATAATTTTGCATCATTATTCTTATCTATGCCGCATTATTGTTGTCATTCGTATGTTGGTTGCATATCTTTTGGCCGGGAGGATGGTTGCTGTTAGGATGGATTCCAAGAACTTTTCTTCACTCGTCCTTCAAGTCACACAGATGCATATGCATTGCCTCAGGCAGCAACCCATCCTGACTGGCTGGTTCCCTGTCAAAACAAGCAACTCAGTCACATAATGGCGACCATGTGACCCGAGCCACGGACACCCGAAAGTGTTGAATTGTTTGAGCTTCCCAGTTTGGGTTTAATCGCCCCAAAGGAATCCTTATCGGGTGTGTGTGTGTGAATCCTTATGGTGTGTGTGTGTCAACAAAGCTCTTCCCTAGAATGGTTTGTTTGCTTTTGGCTTCTCTTTAGATACCAATCAAAAGGGGGTCCACCAATTTGAAACACGCTCTTATGATGACCGCGTGTCTTTGGGACGGTCGTGACGGATGACCTTTGAGTCATGCTCAAAACGCCAAACGCACAGGCAAGGCCATGAAGATCGCTCAGATCTGTTTGGCAGAGCCGCTGCTAGATATATTTGTTTGGGCGTGTCCCAAAATCTGGGTCAACATGTGGGATGATCTTGCATCTTTGCCCTTGGCAAACATGATGAGCTAAGACTCATTTAAGAAAGGGTTCAAATCCTAGGTTTAGGCAGCGTTAACCATGAAGCAATAGGGACCTTTACAGCCAGCTTTAAGGGTCGACAGTCTTAGGACACACCCATAATGTCACAAGAAATGAGAACAGAGAAACCCTCCTGTAGAGCAGTACCGTGAGAAAGCACTGGGTGCTACCTGTACAAATATGGAAGTAGCGCTGCAACAGCCAACTTGTTTCATGCAACAAATGTGGATGCGTCTTTGTGTGGGCACTTTAAGGGGAAGCTGTTATCTTCCAGGCGCCACCAACGGCTATCAAATCACAACCAAATCAACCCAAAGGAGGTCACTCAACAAACTCGGTGGCAATTGGGTGGGGTGCTGGTGCTGGTTGTTTCTTATGTTTTTTTCAGACTGTCTATGTGGCACGTGCATCTTTCACCTGTCTGAGGCAGATGGAGTCCGCCCGGTTTCAGTCGGAGGCGCTGCAGGAGAGCAGAAGCTCCCCGGAGCTGCGGGTTGCCTTCGTTAGAAACCAGCAGGAAATTCTCTGGGATGCTCGGGATGTTCTACAGGAAAGTGGCCACACCAAAAAGGATCTCAACTGTCAACCGCAGAATGTTCCGCTGGCTTCTAAGACGTCATTTGTCTTTCAGCTGAACGTTTTGGGGTGCCTGGGGTTCGGAGCTCTTGAGGGCAGGGTTCAGGGGTTCTGGCGCTGGGGATACCTCCCCGAGGCGGCCTCCATCCCTTGTGCTTTTTGGGTATGGTCCCTGGCAGGCAATTCCCAACAAGTGTCGCGGGCGGGTTTGGTGTTGATCCCAGACAACAATCATCCTTGTAGGTTATCACAAGCAGCTTGCCCAAAGTTGATGAGATATAACCAGGTCAACTTGGTTCTCATGAATTCGAAGCACCAGGGTGTTTGTTTGCAGATTCAATATACCTGTTTCGGGTTGTGCCTGCTTCTGAGCAGCAGTTTCCTGTGGGAAACCCCCGAAGGCAAGCCCAAAAGGCGATGCGGATATTTAGATACACGTGACCATTTCGGGGGTCTGAAGCCCTTTGTTTCTTAGGGTTTCACGGGGCCCTTAGGTTCTCTTGCAGTGCTTTTGGGGCACATCAAGCTCTTTAGGGCGTGGCTGCGTGTGGATCAGTGTGGGCTCAAGTCCAGGTGTCTTTCGCTTCCCTTTCTCATGCCCCGGTCGGTCAGCAGGAATATGGACTTTACGCTTGTTGGTAACATTCTCTCAGTAGAAACCTCAGTGCAACACCCTCCAAGAGCGCGGCCGTGTTCTTTAGTAAAGTTTCCTTGTGGTCCTGCCAGGTTTCGGGAGTTGGGTTGAAGATGGCTTCCACTTTTGTGATGCCAGGGAACGTCTTCCCTCTTCAGGTCGGTGGTATTACAGACAGCCATGTTCATGAATTATTTCTGGAGTGCGGATTTCCTCTCCAGCACCATGTGAAACGTCAGTTGAGAGTGTTACTTTAATGTTTGAGGTTTGCTAATATGTTGGCATGGGGTGCCTTGTAGAAGTGTCGGCATTTTATTGCAGTTGGCGGCGTTGTTAGTCGCGGTTGCCGTGCCATATCTCGTGTTTGTTGCGCTACAACTTTTACGGGATATCGACAGACCAGTTGCGGGAAATCGGCGGAGCATCGGCGGAACTGTGCAGTCATGTCTTGTTGTTGCTGCGGATGTTTTTCTGTTCGGAATGTTTGCTACTTTTCTAGGGCTTGTTTGTGGGATGAGGGAATGCGAGGGATATGTGCTTGTTTGTGGGTTGAAGGCCCGTTTCAACGCGGATCGCGGTCATCGACAACTGTGTGTATTAGTGAAAAGGGCCTTTTGCGCAACGGAGAACGGGCTTGCAGCAGAGAAGAATATGCAACACTTGAAAACACATCTCGGACTTGTGGCAACATGTCGGTTTGCTTTCTGAATCATTTCATGATAGTTGTCCATTTGGCAGCTTGCCACTGGGGTCTTCCAAAGGGCCTTGGGGAGTCTTCCAAGTCTTCCCGACCGAATGTAACCCCTGGTGTGCACCCCAAGCTTATGTGTTGATTGACCGAGAAGCTGCGGCCATTGAAAACGCGCCTCACTGAAGCGGCACAACATGGATCCGGATGATCTACATGGGTTTAAATGTGTGTTGTGTGTATTATGATATTCATAAATGTGTGTATATATACATTGATATTATGTATGTGTAAATGTATGGTCCATACATACACACATATAATGTTTAATATATATATATATATATGTATATATATATATACGTATTACATACATATTATTGTATGGGCCTAGTCCAAAGGGACGCAGTTCGCCGCCGTTTTGGTCCAGGAGGCCTTGGCATCTGCTGCATCCGCTGCGGCCGCCTTTGCAGCCGAAGAGGCGATGTTTTGATCGGCCCAAGTTCACAGAGGCGTAGCGCTCCAGAGATACCGTGGATGGACGAAATCCATTTCGCACCACTTCGAAACTATGGGAAACCGTTGCTTGTTGGTATTTGCGGGGAACTGATCATTTCAGGCTTTCTTAGGACTGCGCCATGGTTAATCACTTCCAGAGTTCCTGGGGTTTAAGCTTTTTGGGTAGACCATTTTGGTGGTAGACCATTTTGGTGGGGGTGGGGTAAAACGAGCTCAG